TGAGAAAAGAGGGTGTGCTGAAAAGCAGAATGAAGGTGGTGAAAGAGTGGACTCGAAGTTTGCTATGAAATCTATAAAGAGAAACTTCACACATATAATTTACAACTAAAAGATGCAAGAGAATCTTTCTTCTCTGAGATTATCAACAATAACATTTACAATACTCTCACTTTAACTGCAAGACGACAGGAAAAAACCCTCCCATCTCTATGGCCGATTAACTCCAATCTAAAGAAGCTTGCAATGAGTTTGCAACGTTTTTTTTTACTGAGGAAATAAAAGGTATTGGAAAAGCAGTCTGCACATCAACATCAGCTTCAATAAAACATAATAAGTGCCCCAATTCTGACAAATAAACACCAAAAGTTTAAAAGAAACTGCTCAGCAGATAAGCTCCTCTTCCTGTCTTGAAGTTTTTCCCAGATGTTTTATTAAGAAGGTTTTACTTGTTTTAGATCAGATTCGATTTATATCATAAACACATCCCTTATGTCAGGAAATTTTCCCCAGAGCCTTAAAAAAGCATTTATCAAACCATTGTTGAAAAAGAGAATCTTGGATAAATTGGCCCTGCAGAAATACAGGCCCTTATCAAACCTCCCATTAAGATTATTGAAACAGTTGTATTTCAACAGTTACTGTTAAGGCCTTCTTAACAATGTAAAGCCGCTCTTTTGTCTTCCGGTCAGGTTTCCGTGTCAACCACAGTACAGAGAGTGCCCTGATTAAGGTGTTCAATGACATCCGTGTAAATTCAGTAACAACAGTGCTGTTATTATTGCAACTCATTGTAGCGTTTGTTACTGTTGATCACTCAATTCATTAGACCATCTGGAAAACTGGGTCAGCTTTTCTGGTACAGCACTGCACTGCTTTAAATGCTACCAAAATTATAGGGACTTTTATGTGTCAGTAGGGAACTTAAAATCAGAAACCAGAAAAATCATATGCAGGGTTCCTCAAGGCTCCATTCTGGGGACCCTACTATTCAACATCTACATGCTCTCCTTAGTTGAGATTATAGCAAATAACAAGATACGTTTATGTAACTTTGCAGACGACACATGGCTTTACACAGTCACCAGGTGCCTATGAACCCATCAGAGGGTTGGCCAGATGCCTGAAAAAGATCAATACGGCATAATTTTCTCCACATGAATAAAAACAAAACTAAGGTAAACATTCTTGGACCAAAGCAAATACAGACTTAGACAGCTTCAGAAACTATAGCTAGGGACTACCGATTATGGCCGAAATCTTGGTGTCATGATGAACTCATACCTGAACCTGCAAAGGCACATAAGAGCAGTTATCAAGTCAGCATTTTATGACATGAAGAACATTTCCAGGTTTAAAGGACTAATGTCCAAGATCTAGAAAAAACTCATTCATACATTCATCTTTAGTAGAATTGATTACCACAACAGTGCCTTCAAATGTTTGACTAAAAAGTCTTTCAGACAGCTGCAGCTGATTCAAAACACTGCTGCCCATGTTCACATTAGAACTAGGAAAGCGGAACACATCAGCCCAGTTCTAAAGTCCTTACACTGCCTCTCTGTAGCTCAGAGAATAGACTTTAAAATCCTTCTGTTAGTTTATAAATCACTAATTAGATTAGCACCTCAATACATACAGTAACAGATTTGTGATCAGTGTATCAACCTCCCAGACCACTCATGTCTTCTAGTTCATGCCTACTCTCTACACCAAGAACTGGAGCCAAACATGGAGAAGCAGCATTTAGTTCCTATGCTCCACTTATCAGGAACAAACTCCCAGAATACTATCAAAATGCTGAAAGCCTGAGTTTCCTTAAGTCAAAGTTAAAACCCATTTTTTAAGAGCTGCCTTTGACTGTTGAAGTTAAACTGTTAACTGAGATATTATTAGTTTAAATATGTGGTCCAGATGTTTTATTTTTTTTATTTTCCTACCTGCTTTTATCATGTTTTTATTTTCATTTGCTTTTTCTCTACTGTTCTCTCTACTGTTCTCTCTACTGTTCTCTCTTCTCTCTTATTCTCTCTTCTATTTTATTGCATAATTCATGTAAAGTACTTTAAATTGTCCATGTACTGAATTGGTGCTATAGAAATAAAATTTTCTTTAGTGTTACATACGGAAATCATTTTTTTTTAGATGAATCACATTTCAGAAGAGGATCTTAAAGTCCTTCACTTGTAACTTCTTATCCACAGTTTGGGTTCCCACTTAACTTTAGGAGCCACTATTATCCATTAGTGAAAAAAAAAAGATGTAATCCAAAATGACGAATAGGATTGCATGTTTAATGCCATTTGGTATGAGACTGTTTATTAACAACAGCCAGTTACTGATTCAAATATAATAAACATCCCTCAAAAAGTTTCTTTATCTTTGCAAACATTGCATGACTGAATTAAATCCCTTTTTAAAACCTGTCTTAACCTGTGTAAGTCCTTATACTCTTTTGCTTGAATGTACGTGTCCATATGTACATTCATGTGTAGACTAAAGTATTTGTGCCTCAGCTTTTTTTGGCTTTACATAGTACGATTACATTTTCAGTAGAAAAAAGGCACAATGTATCCACAAATGTTATTTTGTTAAATTTATTCTTTTGGCATGGAGTTCTCTTTTTTTTCTGTCCCCTGTTCTTCTTTGCTGTGTCTCCAAAAGGACATTTGTATTTCATTAGAGAGGGGTCCAGGAGGCAAAAAGGTAAACAAAACCCCTCTAATTAAAAACAGTACATCCATGACCTAAATAAACCAATAAGATATGAGTATCCATAATAAGAGCATTATGGATAATCAATGCAAACTGAAACTTAGACCTTAAAGGTTTATAGGGAAATCACTTTGTTGCCTTAAAGTGGCACTCAAAATTGTCATTAGGAAACAGTAGTCAAATCTATGATGCACATAGATTCTGAGCTATTTTGTTTATCTGTGCTGTCATCTCTGTTTGCTCATATTAGGGAGAGCTCACTCAGGGACAGGATATGGGGATTAGGTAGGGCCTTATTGGGTTGTAGCTACATACCCCTGAATGGCTCCCATCTGTTCTACCATAAAGGAGAACTCAAGTCTCTAGCAGCACTTATGCTGCACGATGCCAGAATAACAGAATTGGATAGATGAGCACCACTGATATTGCTAGCCACAATACTGCTCTCAACTAAAAGGCTAATGTGCTAGGCTTATTCTATTAGGAAGGGATAAGAGGTTCTAATAGAAACACATACAGAACTGACTAAAAGCATACCTCAAATTGATATCTGATCGAAGATCTGAACTGGTAAGCTAGTCAAAGTCCAGGCTTACCTTTAAAAGAGATGAGTTAGAGCTGAGAAAGTTTAAGAAAGGTAGAAAGAAGAGGAATGATGGAAAAATGTGAAGAGATGGAAAGTTAGGGAGAGAGGGGGCAGTGTGGTGTGTTTCATTACAGTGAATCTTGACACTGCTGCATTCTCAACACACATGGACTGGATTATAGGCTATGTAGGCTGCTTCAACCAACACTTTCTTACACACAGACCCACTTACAAATGCATGGGTAAACATCATAGCTGACTACAAAGCTGTAGTTGATGAGTATAAACGGTTTTCTTTCACAGAAGTTATAGAACTCTCAATGCCAAGAGTAAAATGTTGGGGAGAAGTGCAACATTGAGGTTACACACACATTCTGCTTGCGATGGTCCACCTGCGGATTACTGGGGGAGTAGGAGATCAACTGGAAATTATGAGTGTACCATTATGCCTGTTTTTTTTTGCATGGTTCCCACAAGTGCCCTTCCCCTTTTAGTCCCATGCCATCCACCATCTCTCATATACATTTATATAGCTATATTTAAATGTATCTAAGTAGTTTCTTTATGTCTCATTGACTTAAACATTTAAACATTAGCCTTAAAGAAACCCTAACTCCAGAGCAAATTTTTTTCATGCCCTCTTTTAAAGGTTTCCAGAACCAATAGGGGGCTTCAGTACAAACCCGCAAACCCGGAATTATAATTTATGACTCAGCATTCTTCATTTTATGCATTTGTAGCTTGCAGCCTTAAAAAAAAAAAAGTAATCGTACTCTTTATGTGTTGTACTGCAATTAACTACCCCACACACTGGCACACAAAGGGGTGGGTCATTGTGGTAAAATTTTATTATGACTGAAAAGCTGAGTGAAGAAAGACACACTGGCCCATCTCTGGTTTTTCTCACGGTGTCATTTTTATCACCTATGGGCTTTGGTGTGCTCCCTTCTAGGCAGCAGGGGTGTGTACAGGTCTAACCACAAAGTTATCTATATTGTCAGTGAGTGCGTACACCACATGGCTGAACAACCAGTCAATGAACACCTGATATGAAAAAAAAAATCCATAAACCTGAAAATGAACCAGTACATTTTAGTTGAGTTAATTCAAAGGCAAAGGAAACTTAGTTGGGTTCTGTTACACTTTTCTGTCAAGCTAGGCTAATAAGGCGGATAGGGTGGTTCCATCAGTGTTTCCTTGTAATTGTAACTCAAGCTCTTTGAAAAGGGTTGCTGTGCAGAACAGTATGGTACATTTATCTGCCAGGATGAGATGACACACAGTATTATTGGATTAAAAGAAAAAATATGAGTTTAGTATAACTTTTTGTTGAAATTAGGATTCAGCAATTTTATGTTGGCAGAAACAGAGCAAAGTTTGTGAAAGCCTTAATTAAATAAATCTGTAACATCCTTTTTTTTTGTCCAGGCTTTTCAAATTCGTACATTGCAGTTTTTAATGATATCACATGTGCTCAGCCAGTCTTGTGGCCTTTTAGCTCTTTTTTAGTACACTCTTTAAAAAACAGGGCAACAATTCAACTACTTTTTTCACAATTCCCAAACATAAGATACAACGCAATAAGTCTAAAAAAAACTTAGCTTAATATCTAACAGTCACAGCAATAACTATAATTCAAGTCACACGCTGACAGCAACAGGATGCTCAGGGAACTTGAGCAGAAAATATATCAAACACTTACTGTACAGAAACCCAAGAGATGCCAGTTCCAATGAATAGGGTTCATCAGGCCCATATTCCCTCTTCATCATCCTGCAACCAAGCACGAAGAACACATTACTATAGGCATTAACTATGGCATGATATTGTTTTTACATACTGTTTGATTACATTCAACAGACCTGTTTCAAATGCTTTCAGTTTATAACAACAGTTTGACTATGAGATTCTGCATTCATAAACTGAGACTTATAGTTTAATATTTGAGTACTTTTAAGCCTATGTAATCTTAAACTATAACAATAATGGTTACGCTCTCTCCCATATAAACTATATGACAGAAATTACAGAAAAGACCTCTACAAACAAGACAGCTGATTCTCTTAGACAGCAATGTTATTTCCTTCAACCAAAACCATGCATTTGTAGGCAAGGCAATGTTATCTTTTCCGTAAAAAGACATTTTAAAGCAAGACATTGTAGGAAAATACACAGGCAACAGTGCATGGCGAGAACTTTAAAAAAAGTAAAACATAATAAAAAAATTTATGATAAAATGAAAGAAAGTTGGACTAGACAACAGAGACTCTGTGCTAATATGACTCCGGAACAACAGACAGAATGGATCATGGATAAATGTTACCATGGATTGTGCTGACCTGGGCTTTCCTATCAAGCTTATGAAGCTTATTTGGCTACACTGAAGCAGCTAGGCTACATACGTAATGGGTTTTCAGTAAAACCTGCTAGAGCTTTTTTGCCATCGTGAGGTGACTGGCTTTGACTAGCCTCTTCAGTATGGTTATACATCACACATATCATGTCTTTTAAAACTAAAGCAGGCACCAACGAATAAGCCATTTCAGGAGAGCAAAAAAAACCGAATCTAGCACATCTCTGTTGAATCTGGATTCCTACTGACATCTGACTATGCTCATTATAAAACTATTCAAGGACAGCCATAAAGTTATAAGATTAGGATGAATTGAAAACGGTGGCAAAAGGCAATGCCCAAACTGTAGTTGGGTTCCTTTGAAAATAATATCTAGGTGCCAATCCACTGGACCAGTAAGGTGTTTTAAAGGTGCAGAATTTGTGTATCTGTCTACTATGTGCATTTGGCTACAATGCAAATGGAGAGTAAACTAACATTTTTGGTCACTGTGATTTTTTTTTATTTTATTCTTATCTTATTTTTATTTTATTATTATTTTAGTCTGGCAATGTGGCAATAAGAATAATTGTCTTGATGCCAAAAAGAGCCCAACAGATTTTACTTTCACAAGTGTAGCAGTATGGCAATTGCATATAAATTGCTTTATTATAATTATGCAGGGAGTTTTACAGTTTATATGGACACTGCAATGTAAATAGAGCAGAAAAACAGGAGGAGATAGAAAGGAGACAATGACAAAACATTTTCAGTCTGCTTCATCACCTGCAACGAGATGTAAAAAGAACAGCACAACCGAAAGACATGGTACGCGTAAAACAATAAAGCAACAATATTTAATAAAGCAATGGAAGTGAATCTCTGAGTACCTGGAACCAAGCACCTGTAATTGTTTGTGAAGGTGCACTTGTGCATGTAAAGTTTATCCATAGAGAAAATGCTCAATAGTGGTTGTGTTTTGGTCACTGTTATGGTATTTATGGCAGTGGCTTTCTCCTTGAAAGGGATGTGTGCTGTAGGGTGAGCATAGAGACCGTCTTTATTATTACCATCCTAAGATTGACATCCCTAGACAAGTAGTGTGGTGACCCACTGATGTAGCTCTGCTTGCAGATTGAGTTTGAAAGGGGGAATATGAATTGGAAAGATGGATCAAAAGGCTAGAAATAAGTTGGGTAGGAAAAAATTTATACCACACAACATAGAAGTGACTATATATACATTTAAAACCCTCTATTTACAAGCACTGTATTTAAAGGCATATTTTTTCTTACTAAACTTCACCAAACATTAACATGTTTTATTACAAAAGGAGTTTATATTTGCTAAATGGGTCAATATAGCAACCGGGTTACAACAAAACAGGCTTCCTTAAGTAGGAGCTAGCTATCGCTAAGTTTTTCTAAAGAAGTTTCTTCACCTATCCAGGAGTCTGTCAATTCTGTTGGCTCGGACCAGAGTGATTTGTAGTTGAAGATCTGATGTTTTTAAGCAGCATGGAGGTCCACACTCCTTAAAATATAAACTACGTATTATTGCTACAAAAACTGTCATGATCTGCAGCCATGACATCCCCACCAGGGATGTTCCATAGGTGAAATGTCTAATTTATTCTACATTTCAAAATACAAATTTGTGCTCTTAGTTTGAGGTTTAAAATTTCTAGAAATGTTTCTATTTTTTTCTTTGAAGAGTTAAGTAGGTTAAATATTTAGTGAATAATTTGTTTTTCTCAAGAGGGTAAACTTCTTCTGAGGAAGACTATTTTTATTCTTCTTTAAGTGTGGATTCTGAGCCAGATGTCTTAACACCATATTAATATGATCACATAATGACTATGAATATTCTTGATTCTTTTTTGTTGGATCCTTTATCTTCTCTGTGACTGTGTGCTACTTCCTAATTGTCCAACCAATCACCAATGAGCCGTGTCTATTTTAAAAACTGTGAAGCTGCAGCTCTGGGTCTTTTGGCAGTTTGACTGCCACACACCACATATGTTTGGTAATGCTGAAGTGGCCGTTTGTACTGTGGTAGAAATGTCTGTGTTTTGGTCAGACTCACTTGGTAGAGGAAAGCTGCCTTCTTGTTTGACTCAGGTTCCCTCTGTTGAGGTGCTTGTTATATTCTGTATATTCCGTAAATTCTAGGTTTACATGTGTTTCTCTTTGGAGTTAGGGAACTTTAGGGTTTTTGTTGTCTTTCTTCATTTTAGGTATACAATACAATACAATTAGTACAATACAATACAGTGCAATATAATACAATACAATATACTTGCCTGAGGTCCTCCTGATTAAATAAAATCATCTGAAAATGATTTTATCTTCTCATTTACTGGCATAACTTACTTACCATCTTAATAGGCCTGATGATAAAGACCAGAGTGTGTTTGGGATTTGGGAGGTTGTTTTATTTTTATTTTTTACTTAAAGGGGGAAGTGCGCAATTCTGGACTGAGATCTCAAATGTTTCTCCAGGTATCTGTTGGAGCCACTTTTTCACTGCCCCGGTGCTCCAATAAACACAGGCGCTACTGTTGCCTTCACCTTCCAGGCTCTCTCTAGTTCTTCCCTGAGGTCTTTGTATTTTTACAATTTCCCATATTCCTTTTTTCCTGATGTTTCCATCCTTTGGGATGGCCACATGAATCACTATTGCTGTTGTCTGCTGCCTATTAATGATCACAATGTCCAGTTAGTTGGCCACAACCACTTCATCTGTTTGTACGTGGAAGTCCCACAGGATCTTTCTCTGTCTTCTCTACCACCTTTGGAGGTGGCTCCCATTTAGGCCTTGGGTTTCATACTGTACCTTCCCTCTCCCTGTCACTGTCCGGACACATTTCTTCAGCCCGGACAACATTCCAGTGTCCCTACTTTAGATCCTGGTGATGTGGATCTGCGAGTCAATGTCTCATTCACTCTTAGCATACAACTTGATCTCATCCGTGTGCAGGAAGTAGCTGATAGTGGCCCCATTTCTGAGTCGATGTCCACAGCTAGTCTTGTCGACTACTTAGCTGAGGATGTTCAGGCCTAATACAGAACAGAGGGGGGGCAGAGCATCTCCTTCTCCTTGGTTTATTCCACTTTTGATGGAGATTTTTCAGAGGCGCTTGAAGTTGGCCTCAATTGTGGTTTTTCAGCCCCATGAGGTTTGCGATGAAGGCTCTTAGAGTGCCGTTAATCTTGTACAGCCATTACAGGATCCACGTTTGTGGATTGAGTCCTAGGCTTTCTTGTATTCAACCCAGGCTGTGCACAGTTATTTTTTTTGTTGTTGTTTTGTCTGGTTTTACAATCTGGGGTGACTGTTCTTTCAACCAGTAGTTGGTGTTTGGCTCCTCTTTGTTGGAGGTCTTTCAGTGTGATGTTCACTGGACATTGTTCAGGGAGGTTAGCATGGTCATTTCTTAGGATTTTTAAGACACTGTGCATCATCGTTATGTGATCCTTCTTCCTCCCAGATACTTTTGCAGTATTGTTCAGTCTCAAGACTTGGTGGTTTGGCTTGTTTGTTGTCATCCTGCCACTGGGAGTACACCGTACCTGGTTCAGTGGAGAACACCCTGTTTATTCAGCTGGCTTACATGTCTTTGGTATACCTTTAGTCAGGGCAGCCAAGGATTGGAGTCTTTGCCAGTTTCCAGGTCCTAAGGTACGGGCATCTGTTTGTATTTCTGCAGCATTCCTTTGCCAGATGATCCCCTCTGGAGTTGTGTGAGTTAGATTACTTCTTCCCGTGTTGTCTTGATTTTGGATTTTATTTTTCTTTCTGCCATGGTAAACATTGTCCTCTGTAGGCATATATATATATATATATATATATATATATATATATATATATATATATATATATATATATATATATATATATATATATATATATATATATAAAAATAAAACAAAAACAAACTCCTACTCACCCATGGCGGGCGGTTTCCCCCTTTTTCCTCGAAGCTTGGGTCCTGGACCTGGGAGATTGGTGGGTTCTGCGCAGTGTCTTTGCTGTTCCTAGAACTGCACTTTTCTGGACCAAGTTTGGGGGTCACGTTAGGGGCCCTATGACCTTCCAGGTTTTCTCCAGCTCTTCTTTGAGCCCCTCATTTCTCTTGTTTCTCATGTTCATTTTTCCTGATGTTGCAGTCTATATATATATATATATATATATATATATATATATATATATATATATATATGACACCTCTGCTGAAGAGGCGCCAGTGGTGAATTTGCCAATCTTTGTGATCTCTTGCAGATGCCAAGCGTCTTGATGGAGGTCATTTTGCAGGGCATTGATTGGTTTTTGTCCTGGTCCTCCTTGCACAAAGGCAGAGGTAACGGCCCTGATGCTGGGTTGTTGCCCACCTACAGCCTCTTCCATGTCTCCTGGTGTACTGGTCTGTCTACTGGTAGCACCCCCAGCCTCTGGACACTACACACAGACAGTAGAACTTCTTGCCACAGATCACATCAATGTGGCATCTTGAGCCAGTTGAATGGGTTGTAGAGTCTGTCTCATGCTACTACGAGTGTGAAAGCACCACCAACATTCAGAAGTGATCAAAACATCACCCCGAAAGCAGAGGTACTGAGAAGTGGTCCTGGTTTCTAATACATTTGCACAACAGTATGTGAAATTGATTGTCAATCACTGTTGATTTCCAATGGGACAGTTTGATTTCACAGAAGTTTGATCTAATTAAAGTTATATGAAGTAGTTTAAATGTTCCGTTTATTTTTTGGAACAGTGTATAAACATTGTAACACGCATGCATTACCATCCACAAAAATTAATTGAAGAAAACCCTCCCAAGAGTCATGGCCACATTAAAATTCCCTTTAGGATTAATAAAGTACTTTTGAGGTAGTTTCCAGGAAATGGATGCTTCATATCAACTTTTTCCACTATTAACTGACATTGCAGATTCAAGACCGGATTTTGATTAATTCTGAGAGTGTTAAGAATGCCAATACATATATATTATGCATTTTTCCTGTATTTTAAAGTTCTAAGTTTAAAATTAGGGTATGAGCTTCAAACAATCAATGAAAGACCTTTGTATATTTCAAGAAATAAAAATTGGCTGTTCTAAATTCATGAAATGCAGAGAATATTCAAACCAATGAATCCATCCCCATAATGCTCATGTAATGCTAAGATATTTTAGGCAGGTGCATACATTTAGCCACAAAATAGGCTAGATACATATTTTGATATTGGGGACTTGGGTTTTAACTCCGGTTGAATCAAGAACGACATCGTGTTTAAATCTCTGCCTAGTTTGTGTCTAAGTTGAAATGACTTGTTTGGCAACCCCTGAATATGGGAGCCGATGAAAGAATTCTCTCAGGTACATTCACCACTATTAAGCACAGGGGATCTCCAATTTATGTTTGACTCAAATTTAGACAGCAGACTCAGAATTATTTATAAAGAGTAGATGCATGCAACAATTTATTTCAAACAGAACAAATGTAGTAATACAGACACAGGTGGAAATCCCCAACTATTCATCTGAAAGCCACACACCCAATAAGACATGCACAATTTCAAAGTTTGGAATCCCCCCGTGCATAACAATAGAGCTGTGATTAGTTGCATTCTAATCGAAATAACAAAAAAGCTTTATGAGTTAAAGCGAAGATGTCTAAACCTTTTCTGTCTTTTGTAAAGATTGCCCTTACCCACAGACAGTTTCGTCAGGGTGCATAGTAAAGAACCACTTGAGAATGCATCTGCATCGACATCAATCTTTTTGTGCACCTTTATGTGCACAACACAGTCACTGTGCTTAAAACAACAGTTTGTTCTCTTTCAGACACATTAAGTATGTCCTTGAGGCGATGTCGGTATTTTAGCCAGACAAAAATGAGGGAGACTGTTTCAGACTTGGATGATATATAAACTAATCTCATATATAAACCCCATCAATCAAAAACAATCATTTGGCAGGTTTTTTCTTCAGGCCTCTTATCTGACTGATATGAATAACTCTTATTTGGCAGGAAGTATTGGAGTTTGAAGGTTATAAAAAAGACGTGAGACAAGAAATGTTATGTTGTCAAAGGAGACCACAACTGAGTGCTGTTGGAGTTGATAAATATGAAATTGCTTTAACCTTAAAGGCACAAAGATGAAGGCTTAGAAAATATCAACATGTGTAAACCAGCCCAAATTTCCTCTGCTAATTTAAGGCCTGTGTGCTTCCTATTTTATCCCTCTGACCTGATCCATCGGAGGTCTGTGGTTGGCATGGGGGTCCCCTCTCGGCAGACTCCGGTGATGCAAATTTGCTGGATGCATGTGGTGCAAATGATGAGGATGATGTTGGGGGTGGATGTAGTCTTCCTCATAATTATCAGATATTAACTTCATTCTGCTCTGAGTCTGCAAAAAAGAACATAACACAACTTTTTAAAATGCAAAACTATAACACTTTTACACAAAGCCATAAATTAGCTCTTCATTTTGTTATGTGAAACTACCCTGCGTCTTACAATGATTAGCGTAAGGAATTTCTGGATAGGGGAAAAGTATGCTGAAAGCAGTCAAAGATGATAAAAACCTAACCACTAACAACATTTGACAGATCGTAAATTGTGCAAGTCGGAGTCCTTGATGGCACTATCGTAAGTCTGTCATACATATTACAAATTATGTTTTAAATTGGATAAGATAAATCCCTATAAGTGCAGCTGTTTTGTGTAGCCCAGGGCCACACTGATGCAACCTTATTTTAGATGTCACTGATTAAAATTACACTGAAATTTTGCATCTTTCAAAATGCTTCTTTGTGGTAAATTTATACATGCATTGTATATAACTGTGTATTTATATAACAAGACTCTCATCCTGCCAATATCATATTTTAAAATAACAGTGTACATTGACTAACATGGGCAATCAGCCTTGACAGTTTGAGAGATAGAGAGGCTGACAAAAAGTAGTTGCAGATATATTGACATGCTCAGTTTTACTGTTTTTAACTACATATAGTTTGCCTCAGGGCAGAAATGATTTTGGAGCTGGTGGTGGGATTTTGGATTGGATCTAGATGACTTCAAAAAAAGACGTGCTATTCCTCTGCCAAAGTCTTGCTGCTTCCCCAAGTATAATGGGAGCCAGACACATGGAGGAATAGGCAAATAGCCTGAATCAGCTGTGAAGACAAGAGTGAAATGGTGTTACAGTAGTTAGCGGCCCAGGGATAAAAGACCTGTGATAAGAGGCTGAAAGCTAATGACTAAGGAAATAAGCCAGTCAGGATCACAGGAAAGGAGGCGACTGGTATTAAAGATGTTAGCGATTAGTTTAAACTCCAGAAGGGCATTTTGAATAAGGTGAGAACACTGTCAAGGCAGTCAAGGGTGGAAAAAAAACAAGTAAAGAATGGAAAAAGGAGTAGTTCAGACAAACACCAGACTAGTGGTTAAAGCTGTTAAACATAAGGTTGAGGTGACCGGTTCATTACGACCTCAGGTACTACCATTAGCAGGTGTGAGTGGGTGGACTAGGCCTATGTTTATCAGTTCTGTGTCACATATGATTGAGGATACAACAATTACTATCATATACCATGATAAGTAACATTTTAGTGTGGAATCTGCACAGTGTTTAACAACACTGTGAACACCACACAGGAGTTTTAAGCTGTGTGAATTCCTTATGACATTTTTTTAAATTAGTTGTTAGAGGGTTAAAAATCCATTCCGAAAATGAACAGAAAAATCAACATTTAACCGATTTCATTTGCTTTAACCATTTATGTATCTGATGTATTGGCTATCATCCAAGCTTTTTTGCAGTCAGTGTAAGCTCACATGTTGAGCACCCTATTTTTAGCTTATAGTAAAAGCTGTAAATAGAAAGAATACCCAAGAAAGTTTTTTCCAGTACCATTGAGTAATTTTTCAGGAGGAAGTAAAGAGATGTATGACCTATGCTTTGTTTTTCAAGCTGATGCATGTCTATAATTCTTTTCAGTGCAAAAAATTGAGAAATACGCTTAAACAGAAAATAGCAAGGCTGAAAATACAATTTTTCTTCAGCTTTTTTAATGCTTTCTGACCCTGTTACAGAGTCTTTAAAGTGCAGCACTAAGGATCTATGCTCTGTAGGGACCAGAAATGAACAGTGCATTTTATAGTAAGTAATGACAGGCTGATTTGGTTAAAGGCTAAAAAAAGATGCCAAATATATTACTTGTGAGGACACATCTCTAGTCTAGTCATTAAAAAAATCATCCAGTAATCAGACATAAAAGTATCTAGATCTGAAGGTACTTTTAAAATTTTATTGATGAACTGAGACAAAATCTTGTCAATTAGGTTATAAAGTGTACCTGAGAAATTAGTACAGCTCGCATTGTGTAATCCATTTCATTAATGCACTTTTAGACACAAAGATAAAATACATCCCCAAACTCTTTTCCTAAAGCCATGTTCCATACTACTTGTGTAAAAACAAAGGTGTTCAACCTTAAATCGCTGTCAGGCAGAATGTGAGTTTTAATTAGTGTTAATTAGTAGTCTTGTAGAATAAATAGCTTGCAGTGGCCTCCAGGCCTGCTTGTAGATCCCAGACAGAACAACACACACAGGTGCCACTACTGGATCTAGAGAAAAAAAATGCAGGTTCTTCACGCACATCTCAAAGTAAAACCCACTATATTATTGTGCTCGGCGTGTGTTGATGTACATGCAGCTGCTGGTGTAAACATGGCAGCAATCACTGCTGAGCTCACAGCTGTATCGCAAACCCTAACACAAGGCCTGTGTAAATCACAAGCCTGCTCTGATTAAAGAGAGGCTGTATTAACACATATGGACACAGGAAGCTGACTAGAAAGCCCTTAAACAAAGAAAGCAGCTGGGCTGGGGAAAGGCTGCACAAGTTTCACAACATTTTAGCAAGCTCCTTTAATCAAGTTTGTCCGTGTGTGTTCAGTATTACTCAGCTATCCTTGTAAAAAAAAAAAAAAAATAACAACTGAAAACAGCTATCAAGTTATATGATTAGTTGGATGCCCAAATGTATCCAAAACAACAATGCCAAGATTAAGGGGACATGTTGCAGGAAAAAAAAAAAAAGAAAGCAAAACTCAACTCAGACATTTCCCAATCCATCTTTCCTTCAACTTCAAAGCAGTACTGATGTGAGATCATCCATTACTTAGATGAACTGCAAAGAGAATTCCCACCCTGGGACACATTTGCAGAGACTGTCTTCTCCAGAAGTCTAAACACTACACTTTATGTGTATGTGTGTGTCTGTCTTTGTATATGTACAGTTGTCTGTGTTATGGAAGGGGTTCACCTCCACTGGAAGGAGAGCGAATGAAAGGAAAGTTTGTTTAATACACACATACCCTTGCATGAACCTTAAAAAAAGTGGAATGTGAAGAGGTCAGACAGGTCAGTGCTATCTGTAAATCAATCTGCTGTCTCCAGATCAGCTTTCTCCTGAGAGACTTTGAGTGCCATAATTTTATGGCATTTCCCAGTTAGTTTCCTTCCGCAAAAGTTTTCTACAGATCTAAGGAGGGCTCCATATCATGAAACATATGCCAATGAGTAAAGGGACAAAGTGCCTGAGTGTACAATATAAAGTGATGCGAGTTGAACAGATGTTGGTATATAAAACAGGGATAGAAAGACCAATAATCATTCATATTCAACTGATTGAAAAGAAAGAAAAATAGACCAAAACAAGCCTTAGATGCTGTATGCTAAAAACCACACAGAGGGCATATATAGCTTTAAGTGTCCACAGAAAACCAGAATTATCACATACATAACATTCAGTGAGTCAAATTAAAACAAATTTGAGTAATTCACATTTATAATGATTTGATAGATTAAGCTCTTCTTTTTAAAAGAAACAATGTTTTTTCTCATTTCTTCCCTGCATTGATTTATTAATTTAACACGATAACTTATGTGTCTATAGGCCCATTTACACTACCCTTTGAAAACCAATCTGTGCCGAGTTCGGATTGAGCTTGAATCAGTTAACCATGCCGAGCTTGGTTCCTTACATCACCCTAGCACGGTTCCTCACCTCCCAGTGACAATCTACTGTACTATTGCTCTCAAGAGGTAAACATTTAAACCAACACGGTGGCGCCCGTAACATTCACAAAGTTCTTTTGTATTCATTTTGATATTTTTTTGTTTTTTTCGGAGAGTCGGGACAAGAAGGCAGCCTTTGGTGAATATATTTGACAGAGTCGACTTTTAGGAAGTGGATACGACGAACGATAGTCTAATCAGGGCTTACAGATGCAGGAAACAACAACAGACGTTGCAACGCAGAATCATCACTGGAAATCGTGTGGCACGGTAGGGAACCTAGTATTTTTATGAAGATCTGAAATTTGAGTGATTACTGAGGTTGACTGCTCATGCACTCTTTGTTATCTGAGAACCGAGCCGAACTGAACCGCGCTGAGCCCTACTGCTGAACTAGTACCAGTTTAGCGCGGTTTGGTTGTGTCTGGCACGGGCCAGTTCCGTTTTGTGTGCCATTTACACTAAACAGTTATCTCGGTTACCGTGCTCGGACCGATCTCGACACAGTTTCAAAAGGGTAGTGTAAATGGGGCTAAAATCTTTCCACTACAGCGAAAACTACTAAAGATGACAATAAAATGTGTGTTAAAATAAGTTTTTTGTTTACATTTTCCATTCTCACTTTGGATTGAAACTACTATCTCTCATACCAGGCCACTCTAAAATAGTTATTTTCTAATTACATTTTTAATAAACTGTATAATCTGAATTAAACTACAGTACTACAGTAGCTAAGTTAAGAAAGTATGTAGAGAAAAAAAAGTGGTACACTACCAACGATGGACTGTAAAGACTTTAAAATTTGGCTGATAAGACACAAGTCACAAAGTAGGAACTACTGCTTCCAATAAATTTGTAAAACCTATGTCTAACTCTCTTTGTAATGTGTTAACAGGCACAACCAGATTCAGCTTGACCGCAAAATATCAAAACTATTTTATTTAGATAATCACTTCAGTCGAAAACCTGACAAGCAAATCCTTTTTATTAGCAACACCTGGTTACGATTTAACCTTTTAAAAACAGAGCACTAGTTCTTTATTTTGGTTAGGTTAATGATTAAAAAAAAAAACGTTTTGTAACAATGTGAAAGGTGTGTACAAAATAAAAGCTTTAATGCACGATTCATATGTGCTGTTTGTGAGTTTTATGATATGTTTTAGAAATCTGTTTTAGATGCACAAGTGAAGTTTGTGTCTTTTCCCTTTAGCAAATTCACTCCTTTTTGGTGCTGTTTTGAACCCAGAGGTCCAACAGTGAAATTAGACCTCCCCATAACTACATCAGGTGGACTGTAACTAATGGTAACTCAACGGAAAAAACATGACGCATCAAATGGCGATAAACAGATAATTAGCTTTCCTTGAAATAACTTGAATGGAATTGCACCCCCAAGGAACTATTTATTGTTTACAAGATCCAAGCAAAAGTTGGTATTTACATGCACAGCCACTGCATCTGTTGAATTATTTTCACCCTCTATTTTTCCCAGAAGCCTCCAGTGAATCAGGAAACATACATGTGGACTCCCTGCTGTTAGCTCATTATTGTTAACGTTCATGTTTGATCAGTCATTCATGCGGTCTGACCAAACCTTAATGACCTACATACCCTCTTCAGCCTAAGGTAATACTGAGAGCTGAAAGCAGCACAGTAAATAGCTAGGTGTGTGTGTGTGAGCGTGTACATAGGTGTATACCCTGATTTATGTCTGTTTGGCCAACAGGCCTCAGACAAAAACAGTCCGCCGATGACTCAACAATGACACTCGTCTGTGACTAGAGTGTATCCAGTAACTCTGATTGCAACATGCCTGTTTAGATAATAGTTCCCATCGTGTCAAAATGTGCCTGGATTTGAATTGTAAGCTCCAGCTTTATTGCTCTGGCATACAATGATGGAATGCAGCAAGCATGTTTTAAGGCATTCAAGTGGATTCTGTTAACTATCATGTTATCAATCTCTATCTGTTCTCATTTAATGTATTGCATGAGGGGTTTGTTACTACATAAAATACCCCACAATGGGTAGCAGGGTTTAATTTGTAGCCTTGATTTGATTCTTAAAACCAAAATTTTCTCAGTCTGTATTATATAGAAAAGTTAAACTTTTGGACCAAGATTAAGTCTTTAAAAGGATTGATGAATAGCTGTTGGCTAAGTGGGCAGGGTACCTGCTGTTTGAGCTGGTGCATAAGCCTGTCCTTTTCCCTCTTCAGAGCCATCACCTCATCTTGGGCTTTCTTTCGTTTGGAAGCGGATAACTCCAGCAGGGCAATGTTAGCATCCTTCTCACTGATGGCTGCCAGCAAAGCTTGCTGCCTGACATGGTAAGAAAAAAACAAGATTACATTAGATGAGTAAGAAAATTATCACATTAACTCTTGGTAATTAACTTAAATGAAATATAGCAAAGCTGTAATTACTATGCACAAATAAAGATTTCAAAGAGAACAAAGTCCGTCATTCAAAAGCTCTTTAAAGCTAGACGAATATTCCACAGAAAAGATGCAGACATCTTTGAAGTGGTCTGCTGAGTGGTGAATTAGTTTTTCTTCACTGACTCACCGGCATGTAATAGTTCATAAGTTCTGCACACTAAAAAGGATATTACAGCTTTCGTCTGTCATTACTGGAAAAAAAAAAAAAAAAAAAACCATATATACACTATATTGCCAAAAGTATTTGCTCACCTGCCTTGACTCACATATGAGCTTAAGTGACATCCCGTTCCTAATCCATAGGGTTCAATATGACGTCGGTCCACCCTTTGCAGCTAGAACAGCTTCAACTCTTCTGGGAAGGCTGTCCACAAGGTTTAGGAGTGTGTTTATGGGAATTTTTGACCATTCTTCCAGAAGCGCATTTGTGAGGTCGCACACTGATGTTGGACGAGAAGGCCTGGCTCTCAGTCTCCGCTCTAATTCATCCCAAAGGTGTTCTATCGGGTTGAGGTCAGGACTCTGTGCAGGCCAGTCAAGTTCATCCACACCAGACTCTGTCATCCATGTCTTTATGGACCTTGCTTTGTGCACTGGTGCACAGTCATGTTGGAAGAGGAAGGGGCCAGCTCCAAACTGTTCCCACAAAGTTGGGAGCATGGAATTGTCCAAAATGTCTTGGTATGCTGAAGCATTCAGAGTTCCTTTCACTGGAACTAAGGGGCCAAGCCCAGCTCCTGAAAAACAACCCCACACCATAATCCCCCCTCCACCAAACTTTACACTTGGCACAATGCAGTCAGACAAGTACCGTTCTCCTGGCAACCGCCAAACCCAGACCCGTCCATCAGATTGCCAGATGGAGAAGCGCGATTCGTCACTCCAGAGAACGCGTCTCCACTGCTCTAGAGTCCAGTGGCGGCGTGCTTTACACCACCGCATCCGACGCTTTGCATTGCACTTGGTGATGTATGGCTTGGATGCAGCTGCTCGACCATGGAAACCCATTCCATGAAGCTCTCTGCGCACTGTTCTTGAGCTAATCTGAAGGCCACATGAAGTTTGGAGGTCTGTAGTGATTGACTCTGCAGAAAGTTGGCGACCTCTTCGCACTATGCGCGTCAGCATCCGCTGACCCCGCTCCGTCAGTTTACGTGGCCTACCACTTCGTGGCTGAGTTGCTGTCGTTCCCAAACACTTCCATTTTCTTATAATACAGCTGACAGTTGACTGTGGAATATTTAGGAGCGAGGAAATTTCACGACTGGATTTGTTGCACAGGTGGCATCCTATCACAGTTCCACGCTGGAATTCACTGAGCTCCTGAGAGCGACCCATTCTTTCACAAATGTTTGTAAAAACAGTCTGCATGCCTAGGTGCTTGAATTTATACACCTGTGGCCATGGAAGTGATTGGAACACCTGATTCCAATAATTTGGATGGGTGAGCAAATACTTTTGGCAATATAGTGTATATATGAATGACATTTCAGGTGATATATGTTGCTTCTCTATTGGCAATTTCAGGTCATTACAGTTTTTATCTGCTCTGTCTTGATCTATCCTGCATGGAAACTCTTGCATCAGCTGGAAGCTTTAGCTTTAAGCCCCACCTCTGATCGTCAGTGTTTTTGGGCTGTGGCACTATTTACCGTTACTTTGTGATATACATTCAGCAAAAAACTCCCTGTGAAATGGTAAACAATAAATACAATAAATAAATCTTTACAAAATAAATAAAATGTGAAAGCTGCTTATATTATTGTACATGGAACACATTTTTTTTATTTTTGTATAAAATCATGCACCTGGATAATTATCTGGATCACAGACCAGTCTGACCTTATAAAATAAGTTACAACTTCTCTCTGGCTGTTGTCTGCCTACACAGGGTTTTACCATGAGTGGAGTGTGACAGCGGCAATAAGAGACTCCTCAGTTCAGTCTGCTTCAAAGTTTGCCTGAAGAAGTTATTTTAGCACTTATGAGAAAGTGTTTGTTCAAGCCATTGTAAGATCTTGGATAAGGACTTTAAAACACATGGCAGTGGACTTTTGAGAATTCTGAAATTGGTTTTAGAGGGGGTATACTGGATATTTGTGACACATCATGACAAAACTAGAAACAAGTCGGCAGAGTACCAGGTTGGAAAAATTGGAAAAACGACCAACTAATGAGAAAAATGTGATTTTGGTTTTATTCTAAAATGTGCAAGTTGCAGTTGTAAAATTGGTGCTTTTAATGACAGTTTCAGAGGTTTTAAAGTGGTAAATTTTACAGAAGATCTCTAACTTATCTACATTTGCATGTCAGAGAGGGAAAATCTACAGCTCATTTAAATAGCAGCTTTTTTCGGCTCAAAAAGTTAGCTGTTCTTACTGTATGCTGGTTGGCCAATAAGCTGCTTGCTTGAAGTAAACACATAGCTTCTTAACTCTAGTATAATAGTAAAATGATTAGTAAAATAAAAGAAAGCATGGCAGACGAACTATTATGATTGCATTCTGAAGAAAGGCTTTCAGTTTCTCAAAGGGATAATTCATGTGTTTGTTCTTTAATTTGAAAACAACAATCCAAAGAACAGAAAAAACAGAAAATGTTTTAAATTCCTTTAATAGAATAATACTGAAAAATATGTATAATTTTCTTCTTGAAGATAAATTTTTCAAAGTACACAGCTTATAAATACGTGAAAAGATTGTTCGATCTGCGTTTGGTATCTCTGCAGTTCCTTCAGTGTTACCAAAGGCATCTCTTGGGTACTTTTTGTTAAATGCTCTTCTTATCAGCAATGTGAGCTTAGGAATACAGCAAAGCCTAGTTTGATTTGCCACCGTCCTTTTTGCTTTCTGTTTTCAGATGACAAATTTGATAGTGTTTTATTACATATTGCAGTAATGTTTAATAACCTAATCATATTCTAATTTTTCAACAACTTCCTTCCAGAATTATCTGTTTTGTTCTTTGGAATCCATAAAGATGTTTGTTCGCTATATCCTAATCAATCTCTAATGCATTCACTGAGCATATAATATTCAGTATCCATACTAAGATCGTTTCAAACAGAGGGAAGTTCAGATTGCAATTGGTCACACAGATTTTATTCAGGTGTATCAGAGATAAATATCACCATTACACAAGTTGATTGAAGTGCACTTATTCCGGAGCTCCTTAAAGTTAGACAGAGACTCCACAGAAAAGAAACAGACATCTTTGAAGTGGTCTGCTAAGTGGTGAATTAGTGGTACCTCACTGACTCACCGGCATGTAACGGTGTAATAGACTCTGTAGGCAAAAGAGGATATGACATCTTTCATCTGTCCTAGCTGGTTAACAGAGTGCATGTGTGTGTGTTTGTGAGTGTACATCCTGTTCCAGAGGGGAAGGACTGAATGACTCTCTACAGGTGTAGATGAAACCCACCAACAAGGTTAATTAAACACAAACAACCAGATGTACAAATATACCACAAGAAGACTGAAGAGCATGTGCAGCAAAGACTGTGTCTTTAAGGCAGATCTTTGATTACAGTCCCTGTCATCAAACAGGATATTGTAAATCCAGAGTTGCGACACACACACATTGTCTCCCCACTCTTGTAAACACACTTACAAGCAGAAATGTTCTCACAGAGCGTCAGCCACACACACCTCTATTTTCTTTAACTCAAAATTGAAAATATTAGTAAAAGATAGTTTTCAATATTTAAAAAGAACTCCAACAAATGAGGAAGAAGTATCTTTATGTGCAGCTTTGACAATTTCGAATACTATTTCTTGTCTTTTTAATCTAACCTTTCTGTAAACTTCACTGCAATAGTCTCTGAAGGTATTTTAAGTTGGATAAACAAAGCAGCTTAATTCCAGACTCTTAAATTGCATTTAACAAGCATTTAACTGGTATAGTAATGTTTGTGTAAGGTAAGTAGAAGAAGAGCGAGTCTGGACACATTTAAAGTACACTTTGGACTCTATTAGTAACCGACCTGCAATGGGGTATTTTTTTCTATGATTTAAGTTCCTGCACAAATAACCCACTTGCAAAAGTAAACATGCTAAAATCGGAATAAAGTCATGCCAGCCCAACAGTCCATGTTTTGTGTTTTTAGTACAACAAGCTCTAGGTTTTTTGATTGAAGGCCATTAACAGACCTCTGTATCTGCTTGTGCATAAAGTATATATTTACAAATGCATACATGTGGGTTCTGGCATAGACCGGAGCAACTAATCACATCATTAATCACAAAGTAAGAAAATCTTTTTGTCTCCTCAAAACTCTATTTTTTGTTGTTGTTGTTTATTTTTGTTTTGTTGTTTAGTAGGAAAACACCTATTGACATACAATGAATTTGCATCAGATTAAGTACTTCAGACTCCAGGTCTATTTTGCATAAGCTGACCAATTATTCTGTGAATACTCTTACAGTTTAAAGATCTACTGTACAGATCAAACAAAAGTCTAATGCATGCAAAATTGAATTTTATGTTTTTTGTTGTTTTTATTTACTTGAAATGTAATGTGCAAATAATTGCAAAAAGTTCTACTACTTTGTCTTAAGTCCTGTTAAATTCAATGAGCAGTTGATGCATAGAGTCATATATGGGCAAGGAATGCAGCAGATTGTGTCACAGCTCATAAACAGTCCATCAGATTTACTACCCTCACATATTTGCAAGGCCATCTTTACACCAGGCTGCTGAATCACGTCCAAACTGTATCCCAGCTTTACCTCCTGTCTCTAAGTTTAACTCCATTCAGAAACAGAGAATGCTATCGTTAACAGGTCAACATACTCCTGTAAATTCATAAAGAGTAGGAGTACTTTACTTGCCATTTCACTTCAGTAAGGACTAAAGGTAAAATTTTAAGACAGAATTTTT